CTATAGTCTGTACTCTGGCCAGACTATAGTCTGTACTCTGGCCAGACTATATAGTAGACTGTACTCTGGCCAGACTATAGTCTGTACTCTGGCCAGACTATAGTCTGTACTCTGGCCAGACTATAGTCTGTACTCTGGCCAGACTATAGTCTGTACTCTGGCCAGATTATAGTCTGTACACTGGCCAGACTATAGTCTGTACTCTGGCCAGACTATAGTCTGTACTCTGGCCAGACTATAGGCCGTACTCTGGCCAGACTATAGTCCGTACTCTGGCCAGACTATAGTCCGTACTCTGGCCAGACTATAGTCCGTACTCTGGCCAGACTATAGTCCGTACTCTGGCCAGACTATAGTCCGTACTCTGGCCAGACTATAGTCCGTACTCTGGCCAGACTATAGTCTGTACTCTGGCCAGACTATATAGTAGACTGTACTCTGGCCAGACTATAGTCTGTACTCTGGCCAGACTATAGTCTGTACTTTGACCAGACTATAGTCTGTACTCTGACCAGACTATAGTCTGTACTCTGGCCAGAATATAGTCTGTAATCTGGCCAGACTATAGTCTGTACTCTGGCCAGATTATAGTCTGTACTCTGGCCAGACTATAGTCTGTACTCTGGCCAGACTATAGTCTGTACTCTGGCCAGACTATAGTCTGTACTCTGGCCAGACTATAGTCTGTACTCTGGCCAGACTATAGTCTGTACTCTGGCCAGACTATAGTCTGTACTTTGGCCAGACTATAGTCTGTAATCTGGCCAGACTATAGTCTGTAATCTGGCCATACTATAGTCTGTAATCTGGCCAGACTGTAGTCTGTACTCTGGCCAGACTATAGTTTGAACTCTTGCAACCCTATAGTTTGTACTCTGGCCATACTATAGTCTATATTCAGGCCAGACTCTAGTCTCTACTCGACCAAAATATAGTCTGTACTCTGATAAAACTATAATCTGTACTCTTGTCAGATTATAGACTGCACTCTTTCTGTACTCTGGCCATACTATAGTCTGTACTCTGGCCATACTATAGTCTGTACTCTGGCCATACTATAGTTTGTACTCCGGCCACAGTATAGTATGTACTCTGGCCCGACTATAGTCTCTACTCCGTCAAACTATAGACTGCACTCTGTCCAGACTATAGTCTGTACTCTGGCCAGTTTATAGTCTGTACTCTGGCCAGATTATAGTCTGTACTCTGGCCAGATTATAGTCTATATTCTGGCTAGACTATAGTCTAAACTGGGGCCACACTATGGTTTGTACTCCGGTCAGACTACAATCTGTAATCTGGACAAACTATAGTGTAGTCTGGTTTGATATTAGTCTGTAATCTAGCCTGAGTTATAGCCTGTATTATAGATATAAACAAAATTGCTTTTGCTTTACCATAAAAGTAACATGTAATTCAACAAGTATCTTAAAGTAATTCTTAAACTATGATTGAACCTGGTATCTATCTTTCTTTTTCTTTCTTCTATTTGGGTTCTTTAAAAAAATAATAATAATAATTTTAACTTTTAAGATTTATGATCACAAAGGCCAATAAAATGATTGCGAATGATTTTTAATGCAAATTGTTAATGTTTTTTTATATTTATGACTCATGATACAATATAGATTTGAGAATACATTTGAATAGTCTATGAGTCTTTTTTTTTTGTTTTAAACAGCTTTAAAATAGTAAAACAGCAGAGATTATAATAAAAATAATATTTTTCGTGTATGTGATTTCTTTAAGACACTAAAAAATATTTATGAATGACACAAATCTTAGTTTTGTACAGAAAACAAAACCTTAGAGGGGGTCTAGCTAAAATAAAATATAAATATTTTATTTCTATAAATTTTTAATGAAATGTGATGAGGGTCACTTTAATCAGCATACAAATATTTTTTTAGTTTCAGATATAAATCTTAAATTAAAATTGAGTCATTCAAAAATATTAAAAAAATCTTATTTTTCAGTGATTACTTATTTATAACTTTCTCTATAATTTTTGTTTTTTCTAAAGTAAAACTAATAAAACTTTTGTTTTTAACATTAATGGCCTTAAAACAAAAAATAAATCATTTTTGCTTTAAGTCATTTATATCTACAAATTCTAAACAAATTTTATTTAAATTCTATTGTTTTTATTATCTTTAAACCACAATTATTCATAAATTTAACCAAAAATTTGTTATGGTTTCAAACTCTATACAAAAACATTTTTATTTAAAGGCTATTGTTTAACGCAACAGAAAATGAAAGCACGTGCCTTAAAGCTGTATTTAAATTCAAGGAAGCTTTTGCTGGATATTTGAATCACCTCTAAGCTATATTGTAAAAACAAACAGAAGCATTGTCTTTATTTTGTTTAAATCTAAAGGAAATAATCATTTTTTCAGATGGTTTTTTAGTTTTTTGTCTAACCACTTGATTTGTTTTTAAAAGTCAGTGATTATTTACACAACTATTAATTTTCTTTTATGAGATTATTAATCTTAACATTAAAATAATTTACATTTTTCCCTGCCATTGCTTACGATCTTAAAGCATCATTATTCAAAAAATTATCGACAGAAAAAAAACCCAAAGTGTCACAAGATTTAAATGTGGAAAATTTGTTCATCGAACATGCTGAAAATACTACACAGTTGAAGAAATTACCAGAGTAGAGACTATGGTCTGGCAAGAGTACAGACTGGTCAGAGTACAGATTATAGTCTAGTCAGAGTACAGACTATAGTATGGTCATAGTGCAGACTATAGTCCGGTCAGAGTACAGAATATAGTCTAGTCATAGTACAGACTATAGCCTGGTCAGAGCACAGACTATAGTCTGGTCAGAGTAAAGACTATATTCTGGTCATAGTACAGACTATAGTCTGGTCAGAGTGCAGAGTATAGTCTGGTCAGAGTTCTGATTATAGTTTGGTCAGAGTAAATACTATATTCTGGTCAGAGTACAGACTATAGTCTGGTCAGTGTGCAGTCTATAGTCTGGTCAGAGTGCAGACTATAGTCTGGTTAGAGTGCAGACTATAGTCTGGTCTGAGTACAGACTATAGCCTGGTCAGAGCACAGACTATAGCCTGGTAAGAGTACAAACTATAGTCTGGTTAGTGTACAGACTATAGTCTGGTTAGTGTACAGACTATAGTCTGGTTAGTGTACAGACTATAATCTGGTCAGAGTGCAGACTATAGTCTGGTTAGTGTACTGACTATAGTCTGGTCAGAGTGCAGACTATAGTGTGGTCAGAGTACAGACTATAGTCTGGTCAGAGTACAGACTATAGTCTGGACAGAGTACAGACTATAGTCTGGACAGAGTACAGACTATAGTCTGGTTAGTGTTCAGACTATAATCTGGTCAGAGTGCAGACTATAGTCTGGTTAGTGTACAGACTATAGTCTGGTCAGAGTGCAGACTATAGTGTGGTCAGAGTACAGACTATAGTCTGGTCAGAGTACAGACTATAGTCTGGTCAGAGTACAGACTATAGTCTGGTCAGAGTACAGACTATAATCTGGTCAGAGTACAGAATATTGTCTAGTCAGAATACAGACTATAGCCTGGTCAGAGCACAAACTATGTCTAGTCAGAGTAAAGACTATATTCTGGTCATAGTACAGACTATAGTCTGGTCAGAGTGCAGACTATGTCTGGTCAGAGTACAGACTATAGTCTGGTCAGAGTACAGACTGTAGTCTGGTCAGAGTTCAGACTATAGTCTGGTCACAGTACAGAATATTGTCTAGTCAGAATACAGACTATAGCCTGGTCAGAGCACAAACTATGTCTAGTCAGAGTAAAGACTATATTCTGGTCATAGTACAGACTATAGCCTGGTCAGAGCACAAACTATGTCTAGTCAGAGTAAAGACTATATTCTGGTCATAGTACAGACTATAGTCTGGTCAGAGTGCAGACTATAGTCTGGTCAGAGTACAGACTATAGTCTAGTCATAGTACAGACTATAGTCTAGTCAGAGTACAGACTATAGTCTTGTCAGATCTTAGACTATAGTCTGGTCAGAGTACAGACTATAGTCTGGTCAGAGTACAGACTATAGTCTAGTCATAGTACAGACTATAGTCTGGTCAGAGTACAGACTATAGTCTAGTCGTAGTACAGACTATAGTCTAGTCATAGTACAGACTATAGTCTGGTCAGAGTACAGGCTATAGTCTAGCCATAGTACAGGCTATAGTCTGGTCAGAGTACAGACTATAGTCTGGTCAAAGTACAGACTATAGTCTGGTCAAAGTACAGACTATAGTCTGGTCAGAGTACAGACTATAGTCTGGTCAGAGTACAGACTATAGTCTGGTCAGAGTACAGTGTACAGACTATAGTCTGGCCAGTGTACAGACTATAGTCTAGCCTGAGTACACACTATAGTCTAGCCAGGTTAGAGGCTATACTATGATAAAAGTAGGAACCATAGCCAGATCATAGCATTGTCTATATTCTTAGCATAACAGCGACTTCTATTCTGCATTTAAAAACAGTTACTAACCTAAATGTTTACTGGGTTTTACAGCTTACTACTAGACTTTTGTCTGCAAGTGTAATATGCGTAAGTGCATCCATTTACATGTCTGTCTGTCCATATGCAAAGCAACATGAAAACAGTCAACAAAAATATTGCGGTCATTGCACAAACTAACAAAAAAATATAAAGTAATAAAAAAAAAAACGTTCGAAAAAAGCTGCTGCTGATATAAATTGAAATTGTTTGATTTGATCGTTGGCTCGCTCGCTCACTCACTCATTCGTTCATTTGTTTATTTGAATTTTACTTATTTTATTTGTTGTATTTTGTTTATATTTATTTAGTTTGTTTATTTTTTAAGACGCTCGTATGAATTTGAAAACATTTAAATATTTTACTAAGCGAGCATCACTAATATTTTACGGTCAGTAAGTATTAGTGATGTGATAAATACAAAAAAAAATGTTAAATGAAATTTTAACGTATTTTTCTGATTTTTCTTTGCAGCATGTCAGCAGCTTTAAAGTTAAAGAAATTGTGGCAGTAGTTTAAGGTAAGTGGGAGAAAATAGAAAAAAAACATTTAAGGAAAGCTTGTTCAGCTTTTCACATTATTGTATAAATAAAACAAAAGATTTAAGACACAAACTTTGTTTTAAAATATTTCAATACAAATATGTTTTTGCTATCACTAAAGCTTTATTACAGTATTATTTATAGGCGTTTTTAGTTAATTTGTTGTTAATAATTTCAAATAATACCCTCCTTTCAATTTACAACTGATTTAATCTGTTTCCACAGTTTATCTAATTATCTCACCACCATTCTCCTGGCTGTTACCATTCCAAAGTCTATGAAAATCATTGCTATAATTATCACTTGACTTTAACATGTCAGACTTGTCTGTAATGATATTTTTTACACACAACAAATCAGCAATTTAAATCCAAAACTAAAACATTATAAAACTAAACACTTTATAACAAAATGTTTAACAAATAGTGCAAAAAAAATTCACATACAATTTAAATAAAACATTGATAAATTGCCAATGCGTTTAATACGCAATCGCGTCTGAATCTAAAATATATATTATTTTCAATTACTAGCCAGAGACAGTGACATTGCGAGCATAACAAAAAAAAACATTTAACAAATCTAAATGATTTAATATTTAAAGTTTGTAGTTAATGCAAAAAACTAATTCAAAACTAAATTGCAGCGGATGTTAAAATAAAAATTGTTAATTAATAAAAAAAAACTGGCAGACAGCAAACATAAGGAAGTTGTATAACAAAATTTTAAAATGATTTTCATATAAATATTTATACCGCTACATTTTATTAAAAAAATATTTTCTATTTTTTATCTGTAATATACTGAAAATCATAAATTTTGTTTATCTACATATTTTATTAAATATAATTTAAATAACTATTGTTTTTTATATTAATTCAATCTTTGTCTATATTCACCGGAAATATTTAACATTTTCTAACACTTCAAAATTTTCCCTCATTGCTAATGCCCCATTTTACAGGTTACTTCACTATCTATGGCCATAAATCTTTTTAAATAAAATGGAATTTCAATTTTTATTACACTTTTATTTCGATCAAAAAAAAAAAAAAAAAACTAGAACTCTCTAATATTGTGACTAAATGCACTAAATACCAGTGGTATGATGTTTAATCCACATATCACATCACACAACCCACCAACCAACCATCGAACCAATATAACCCATAATTTACGAGCTTCTGCTATTCAAGATTAATTTATATGAAGAAATCATTGTCTACTGATCGCCCCACTAAGTAGACCAGTAATACACACTCTTTACTACTAATTTATAGAGTTCTTTTGTGAGCGCTAGTATCTTCTTCCTCTTCTGTATGCTGGGGATGCTTTTGCTATTGCGTTGGATAGACTGGCTTTTTTGGTTGCCCATCAATTGATTATAAAAGCTTATCCAAGTGTGGTATTAAGCATTTGCTACGCACAACAACACAAATCACCACATGAGTTGTGGTTAAACGCACAGCAGGCAGTCCGGCTGTAGCCACTTTAGAGTTATTTTTAGGGGAAAAAGCAAAAGCGAATCATATTTAAAGGAATGAACTCTTTTGACTGAAAATTGTAAATTGTCAAAAACTAAAATTAAAAACTGAATTAGAAGTAGAACTGAACTAGGACTAAACTAGAACTGAACTAGAACTGAACTAGAACTGAACTAGAACTGAACTAGAACTGAACTAGAACTGAACTAGAACTGAACTAGAACTGAACTAGAACTGAACTAGAACTGAACTAGATCTGAACTAGAACTGAACTAGAACTGAACTAGAACTGAACTAGAACTGAACTAGAACTGAACTAGAACTGAACTAGAACTGAACTAGAACTGAACTAGAACTGAACTAGAACTGAACTAGAACTGAACTAGATCTGAACTAGAACTGAACTAGAACTGAACTAGAACTGAACTAGAACTGAACTAGAACTGAACTAGAATTGAACTAGAACTGAACTAGAACTGAACTAGAACAGAACTAAAACTGAACTAGAACTGAACTAGAAACTGAACTAGAACTGAACTAGAACTGAACTAGAATTGAACTAGAACTGAACTAGAACTGAACTAGAACTGAACTAGAACTGAACTAGAACTGAACTAGAACTGACTAGAACTGAACAAGAACTGAACTAGAACTGAACTAGAACTGAACTAGAACTGAACTAGAACTGAACTAGAACTGAACTAGAACTGAACTAGAACTGAACTAGAACTGAACTAGAACTGAACTAGAACTGAACTAGAACTGAACTAGAACTGAACTAGAACTGAACTAGAACTGAACTAGAACTGAACTAGAACTGAACTAGAACTGAACTAGAACTGAACTAGAACTGAACTAGAACTGAACTAGAACTGAACTAGAACTGAACTAGAACTGAACTAGAACTGAACTAGAACTGAACTAGAACTGAACTAGAACTGAACTAGAACTGAACTAGAACTGAACTAGAACTGAACTAGAACTGAACTAGAACTGAACTAGAACTGAACTAGAACTGAACTAGAACTGAACTAGAACTGAACTAGAACTGAACTAGAACTGAACTAGAATAACTGAACTAGAACTGAACTAGAACTGAACGAGAACTGAACTAGAACTGACTAGAACTGACTAGCACTGAACTAGAAACTGACTAGAAACTGAACTAGAACTGAACTAGAACTGAACTAGAACTGAACTAGAACTGAACTAGAACTGAACTAGAACTGAACTAGAACTGAACTAGAACTGAACTAGAACTGAACTAGAACTGAACTAGAAACTGAACTAGAACTGAACTAGAACTGAACTACGAACTGAACTACAACTGAACTAGAACTGAACTAGAACTGAACTAGAACTGAACTAGAACTGAACTAGAACTGACTAGAACTAGAACTGAACTAGAACTGAACTAGAACTGAACTAGAACTGAACTAAACTGACTAGAACTGAACTAGAACTGAACTAGAACTGAACTAGAACTGAACTAGAACTGAACTAGAACTGAACTAGAACTGAACTAGAACTGAACTAGAACTGAACTAGAACTGAACTAGAACTGAACTAGAACTGAACTAGAACTGAACTAGAACTGAACTAGAACTATGAACTGAACTAGAACTGAACTAGAACTGAACTAGAACTGAACTAGAACTGAACTACTGAACTAGAACTGAAACTAGACTGAACTAGAACTGACTGAAACTGAACTAGAACTGAACTAGAACTGAACTAGAACTAGAAACTGAAACTAGAACTAGAACTGAAATAGAACTGAACTAGAACTGAACTAGAACTGAACTAGAACTGAACTAGAACTGAACTAGAACTGAACTAGAAATGAACTAGAACTGAACTAGAACTGAACTAGAACTGAACTAGAACTGAACTAGAACTGAACTAGAACTGAACTAGAACTGAACTAGAACTGAACTAGACTAGAACTGACTAGAACTGAACTAGAACTGAACTAGAACTAACTGAACTAGAACTGAACTAGAACTTAACAAGAACTGAACTAGAATTAAACTTATGCTGTAATAGAACTAAACCACAGCTGAGCTCGATATGCTTTAATTCTTTTACATTTCTGCTTAGAAACACCTCACGTTTCTCAATAGTATCTTTCCAAATATCTTGTACCTTTTGAATATCAATATTTTTTCCTGTTTTCTTCTTATTTTGTTTTATAGCCAACTGACCGTTTTATTCTTGGTTGTCAGTCCGTCTGTCTGTCTGTCCATTCATTTAATTTTTTCTAGATTTCAGTTGTTTTTTTCTTTTGGTATTTAGTTGGTGATTTGAATATTTCTTTTTTCAACAACTTTTTTCTTGATTTAAAGAGCCACACGTAAGTCTTCTGCTGCAACCGCGTCTTACACTGCTGCGTCCCTCTTAACACTTTCAGTAGATAAAATTTTGTGAATGAACATTTTGATAATCATGGAAGTGTTTTATTTTTAGGTTTCATGTATTTCTTGAATGAAATTCAAAATTAATTTGCATAAATTTATTAATTTTTTGATAAAACCAACAACAGAAAACATAAAACAAACATCAGCTTAATGGTGATTAGTTCAGGCGCAGCTTTAGTAGTGAATTAGCTGCTGCGGCTGCTGCTTGTTCACTATATTGTAACGCGTGTCTTTAAATGTTCTTAAAATCATATTTAAATTTTCTTGTTCACGCATAAATTATGTAAAGAAAGTGTCAATGACTAACAACAAAGAGTATATTTTTTTGACGTTGGCGTTATTTTGGTGGTATGACATATTTTTTTCTCGTTTTATTTATTTGCGGCTTGACTGGGCCACTACTTTTAAAGTGTCAACAAATTGTTGTCCAAACTAAAACAAAATGTTTTTTATTATTTTATTTTTATCTTTTTAAAATTAACGTTTAACAACACATGTGAGTATCTGTGAGAATGTCTAATCAAACGACACACTTCAATCAGTTAAAAAGTCGTGTCTGCTGTTTTGTTGTTTAAAACGGACAAAAGTAGAATTTGTATGTTTTTTTTTCGCAGAAAACCAGTTGGTCGTAATTCTTAGCTTTTTAGCGGACTTTGGCAATTTGGTATGTGATTAGTTAGAGTTCAGAGTTCAATTCTATGGGGAGATACAACTGTTTGTGTTTGTGGCAACAATGTCACCCACTAGTTTGCTACGGGGATTTTGGTGCTCGAAACTTACTGCTTTTATGAAATTACATTTTTGTTTTATTAATATTTATTTTACTGGTGTGTGTTAGAATTCTTGTTGTTGTCAGTACAAAATGGAATTTTTATAATGATTAGATTTTTTTGTATTTTTTTTTTTTTTGCTAAATTTTCGCTTAAGGCTGTCATGAATAAAAAAAAAAAAAGAAATCAACTAAACATGTCTACAATTTTATTTACATGCATAGACAATATATCGACATATGGACGGACATACTATCCAACAGATATTTTATGTGTTTCTGAGTCTGTGTGTATTTTTGTA